AATAGATGAAGAGATCACCCTATATATAGGCAAGGGACGGGGACTCCCCTTCCATGTGCTCCTCTCTCCTCCCTTTTATAGTCTCAGAATAGGCGAGGGGCTCCTAGGTGAGGGGCTCAAGGGCTGGGAAGCCAGTTTTCGCCCTAGAAGTATACATCTGCTCTGTTCTGGAAGTCTCCCAGTTTAGTAGGCTGGTGTGTCAAGGTCAGTCAGAGGAGCAGAGACTCCAGCCCAGTTCTCTCCGACCCTGCTGCCCATCTCTTCTCGTGGCATCACTGGCATCCCCAGCATTCCTCGCTCCCCATGGCCTGGGAATCTGAGCCTTCAGACTCAAAGGAAAAGACGTCTGGGCCTCGCCACAGTTGAAGGGTGATCTTGGCTCACAATAAGGACTCATGAGAGCAGCATGTATAAGAAACAAAGAATGTGTGTGAATGTGAAAGGGACCAGCTCCCAGGCTCGACCATGAAACCTGGCCAGAGAAAGGTTTCAACACAAACAGACTTTCTGTGCAGAGGGGCCCCAGGTCCTGGGTGCCGCAGGGCTCTGGCAAACCCAGCAAAGGGTCAGTCCTGGCCCGGGAACAGGGCTCTTAGCAGGTGCAGGAACGAAGCTGAGACAGAGCCCCTTCAGAGTGGACAAAAGTGCACCCTGTGCATCCACATCCAGGGTGGCGCTTTCAGGAGCCCCAGGTCACGCAGTTGTCATTCCCCTTCTCCAGTGAGGAGACTGGGCCATGAGTTCCCAGCTCAGCCCTGGGCAGAAGCTAGACTGGAACTCATATCCTGTGACTCCAAGTTAAGTAGTTTCTCTGTGCCACAGCTGCCTCCCATTAATTTCCGACATGCGAGACTTGGAAAGCATCCTCGAAGGCAGCCGTGGGGCTGCCAGGCTGCTGCAGTCGGGCAGTGCGGACCCGGGGCAGGGCCGCTCCGATGCTGCTGGAAACCCGTGGGAACGAGGCTTCCCACCCCAGCCCCGTGTCCTCCTTGGCAGAGCCACCGGCTCTGCAGCCGTGAGCGCCGTAGCAGCATTCAGCGCACTCAGTGGCGCTCTAACTGCTGGCCAGGTCACATCCCTGCTCCTGGTTTGTAGACATAGAATTCAAGCTCAGAGGTGGGAGGTGACTTGCCCAACCTGCAGGTGGCAGGTACCAGGGGGAGCCCAGGCCTGTGTCTGGATCCCGAGTTCTGTGCTGTTGCTGTCCATCACCCTCAATCCTGTCCACTCCAAGGCCACGATTAGGAGGCCCATGCTGTTTTCTCTACCAATCAATGAGTGGTCTGTGGGGCAGCATGTTGGTTTCTTAAGAAAAATATAATGAAAACCAGATTTTTTTTCCAACATGATATCTCATTCCCTACAGACTGTCAGTTCTCATATATTCCAATAAAACTGCTAAAGAAACAGCCACTTAAAGAGCTTTAAAAATTATTCATGGAAAAATTATGCTGAGGAAAAATAGAGCAATCCTCTGAGATAGTCAAGCCACACGGTCAGTTTTTCCAACTGCTCGTGCCATATCGGCCGGCAGCAGGGACCAAGTGCTGAGCAAGGCCAGAGCCCTGGCCCATTATCACCACCCCGCCCCTGCCCCTGCCTGCAGGACATGGAGAAAACAGCGCTCGCCAGCCGCCCAGTTTAGAAACTGTCCCGGAAGACACGTGTCCCTGGTGCTGTCACGTGGTGGCCATCCCCAGCGTGGTGGGGCAGGAACATGAGGCCTTTCAGTAGCAGAGGGTGTCACTTACTGGTAGAGGCCATCCCCATCCCTAGGTCCCAGCCGAATGGAAATTCTGCTTCAGCGTCAGATCCAGGCTGTTGTTGGTCAACAATGCAGGAGGTGGGAGTGGCCGAGAGCCAGAGCATCCAGAGCAGCATTAGTTTGACACTGGGCCCAGGGAGATCACAGCCACTACTGCCTGGGCCCCCCACTCTTCCCCCAGCCGTGCTGAGGGACATCTGAGGCCAGGCATGCCTCCCGAGGCCATCCAAAGCAGCAAGAAGAGGGGGGGATCCAGGCCCCATCCTGGAGGGAGTCAATAGCTGAATGGAAGAGACTAAGGGTGAACTGCAGGCTTGGGAGAGCCCAAAGGTGGGGACCAGAGCCAGGAGCAGGAACCACAGGGAGACATGTGGGAAAGGGAGCCCATTAGGAGTGACAGGGAGGTCAGGGAAGTTACCAGAAGAGCCTTGAGTGTCCAGCTCTTGCTGCACTCGGGGCTGGTTAAGAGAATAAACCCAGCACCCCTTCCCTGTGTGACCAGGTGTGCACCAAGCATCCCTGGTGAAATGACGATAGTCAAAACAGCCACTGCCTAGGACCCGATGGAATAGGATGTGGAAGTGTTTAGACAAGCCTGGCACGCAACTAGTGCCTGGCACACATTAGTCCCCTTCACCTTCCCTTTCTCAGGAATAGCAGCTGGACCTTATCAGTCACATTTCCTGGAGGAAGTGCCTCCTCACCAGATCACCTCGAACATGTCACTGTGTCCCTTCTTCCTCCGGTTTTCACCAGTGCCTGACCTTTGAAGTGTAGAGCTCCTCCCCCCACACTGTACCCCGGAGTTCAAGTCCTGCATGTAATAGATATATAAGCCCCGGCGTTCTTACCTGTCAAATGGGCCTGCTAAAGTGTACCCACCTCAGGGATTGCAGCCCAGGAACATAGCACGGGGCCAGGCGCCGGACATTCAAGCGTAATTATCACCTTTATTATGGCTACAACACCAGGGAGTCCAGTTCCAGTTCAGACCACAAGGGGAGGAGCCATGTGACTTGACCTTTACAAAGTATTTTCTGAACCCAGAGTGGGAGCCAGAGTGACTCAGGCAGAGAGACCGTAATCCGGTTGATAAACAAGGCAAATTTCGCCCTCTGCACGGATTCGTTTATTGAGCAATATGTGCAAAACAAAAACAAAGCAGAGTGGCTTCCATCCTTCCTTTTCCTCTCTGGGGCACGAGACATTTCCTCCAGGACAGAGCTTGCTTGCGCTCCAACTCTTTGAGCAGAAGTTCTTCACCGGGTGTCCCCTGGAATCACCGGGAGAGCAATACCCAGCCCCACCGGAGGCAATGGAATCAGAGCCTGCGGGGATGGGCCTGAGACGCTCCATTCCCACACTCTCCCGAGGACCCAGGGACAGGCCCTGCTTAAGGATCACAGCCTCGAAGAAGCTGACTGACAGTGGAACCCCTCGCAGGAAAGTGCACGCGTGTGCCCTTGTTTCCTTAGGTACGATTTCAGTACCTCCACGCAGTCCTCACAGGCCTTCCGTGGACCTTGGCTGGGCGGTGAGGTCCGGGCCGTGCCTCTCCGAGCAGATTGTAGTTGTGTGCCGCATAAGGATGTTCCTGTCAGTGACAAACCACGTATACACGGCGGTCCCCATAGATTGTAGTGAGCTGAAAAGTTCCTGTCGCATCGTGACGTCAGAGCTGTTGTAACATCATAGTGCAACACATTACCCGTGTGCTTGTGGCGATGCTGGTGTAAACAAACCTGCTGCTTGCCGGTTGTGTAAAAGTAGAGCAGATATAATTATGTAGAGTACAGAAGACTCGAAAATGATAATAAATGACTTTGTTACTGGTTTAGGTAGTTACTATACGTTGCATCATTTTAGATTGCGTTCTTTCTACTTGTAAAAAGAGAAAAAGTTTGCTGGAAAACAGTATGCTGTGTCGGGCCAACAGCAGTGTCATACATCTCATGTTTGCGGAGTCTCTTGATTGTGTCATTTTCTCTTGTGCTTGATTTACTAAAGCTCGTGCTGTTTGTGCAGTAACGTGCTGTACAGGCTCGTAGCCTCGGTGTGGAGCCGGCTGCACCGCCCAGGCAGGTGTCCAGTGCACTCTGAGCGCATCCCCGTTGTTAAACGGCGCATGGAGCTGCCAGGGATTGGTCTTCAGAGCCCTGTTCTTGAGGCGCCATGTGCTGGCTGGGATTGGGACCTCAGACAGTGTGCCCCATCTCCTGCCACCAGGCCAGGTCACCTAGGTAGCCACACCCAGAGGCAGTGTGGTGTGGTGAGGCCTCCTTGTGAAGGTCCCTTGGGCTGCGAACACTAGCATCATTAGGATGCCAAGGGCTCTGGTGAGAAGTCGATGCGTGTTCATTGGTTTGGCAAAAATGAGGTCATTGAAAATGCCAATAGGTATGGAAACCAGATTTTTAGTGACTTGAGGGGTGAGTGAGAGGGGCAGAAGCAGAGCAACAGGGAGTGCAGACCTCTGAGGAAATGTGACGGGCAGAGAGGAAGCTCTGGGGCCAAGGGACCTGATTTTACAGAAAATGAGAAACTCGCGTGTATTTATGGGCTGGAGGAAGGGGCTAGAGAGAAGGGGAAAGTGATGGAGTGAATTCTTAGAGGAAACAAATAGGACTGGAGAGGAGGGATTGGCCTCGGCCAGGCGGCAGCCCCTGGATACGCTGGGTTTGGTGTGCTCTGCAGGAAGTGCAGAAGCCCCGGCCACACTTCCTCTGTCCCAGGTAGCTCAGGCTTAGCATCTTGGGGTCACCTGCCTGAAAGACCTCTCTTCCAAGGTCAGCCAGGCAGTGACTGACAAGCCTGGGGGCCCAGCCCCTGCCTGCCTGGCTGTGCTTTCACTCAGTGAGTCCTCTGCCTCCCTCCTAAGCCCTCTGTCCCTCTTGTTGACTGCATGGGTAGAGAAGAGCAAGTGGCTGTGGAAGGGCACAGGGTGGTCACCGGCCTTGGATTCAGAAGACTTACTGTTAAGTCTCAACTCAGCTGTCCTGCCACTGGCCTCGAATAAGGCACACTCAACCAGGGGCACCGTGCACAGCAGGACACTGGCCATCCTGACTGCTGTCATCCCCAGAAGGTAGTTATGCTGGGAGTGAGGGTCAGTGTCTCATGAGTAGAAAGCCAGGGGCTTGATGAGCCTGCTCCACCTGTGACCGCTGGGCCAGGTGCCCATGTCCTCTGAGCCTCTACAGCCCCCATCACTATGCTCTCTCTGCTCTGTTCATAGGCCCCTCCACTGGCTCCAGTTCTGCGAGGTTCAGCCGGCGCCCCACCTGTCCTGACACATCTGTTGCTGGCAGCCTCCCGACTCCCCCGGTCCCAAGGCACAGGAAGAGCCACAGCCTGGGCAACAAGTGGGTAACTGAGTGAGACCCACTTGGGCTATACATTGGCTGAGCGTGGGTCTGGGCTAACAGGAGTGCTTGCCAGCTGGAGCTCTCCCACCCACCTGGAAGATGCTGACGGTGCTCTTGGTATCCCTGGCTGGTGCCCTCTCCTCAACCTGGCACAAGGTCAGGAAAAGCTGGGGTGGGACTGGTGACAGGTATCCCCATCTCAGTAGGCATGGTGGGACTCCTTCCATAAGTTTGCCTGAGTTCAGTTAGTGCCTCCCTGTGTAAACCTCAGAGTCCAGCGGGCACTGTCACCGTCATCCCAGGCAGCACTAGGTATCTCATGGTGCCTGCCAGTCTCAGGGCTCACGGTCTCTGCTTGCCCATTGCTAGAGGGAGCCTGCAGAACAGTGCACCTGCCACAGGCTCACCCAGCCCTGTGGGCTGACAGCTGGGGGACACGGGTGGGCCTCAGCATTGCCAGGGGCAGCCATGCCTGTGTCCCCAGGGTATTGGGCACAGGCTCCTGAATAGCTGCGTCCATCCCCCCCTCCCTCTGTTCTTTCCTGCCTGCCTTCTTTCATCCTCCCTCCCTCCCTCCCTTCCTTCCTGCCTTCCTTCCTCCCACCACTAAGACACAAGCCTCAGCCAGCCTAGGCTGGCCTTGGAGTCACTCATGGGCTGGAGGAGGAAATGGTTGCTCCTGGAGTGTCCAGGGCTTACTCTGTAGATACTCTGCTTTGAGCCTGTCACACATCTCACTGGGCCCCGCAGGCCTCCGAGGTAGGTGCTGAGTTATATGCATTGTAACTCTGAGTCCAATGAGGTTCGATGTGGTGAAGTACCTTCCAACTGTAAGGCTGGAACAAGGATTTGGACCAGGTGTGTGTGACTCCAGAACCAGATATGGTGACCGCAGGGTCACTCTCCCCCTTGACTTGCGAGCCCCATCGCTCACAAGCCCCACTCTCCCGCCTGAGCCTCAGTCACCCTGGGAGACAGGAGGACAAGTACTATTGGCCTCCACCTGAAAGATGGAGAAACTGAGGCCCAGATAAAGGATGGGACTTGCCCAAAGTCACGCCGTGAGATGGGGCAGAGCCTGACTTGTGCCCTGGTTCTGGGTGGAGGTCTGTCCTGCAGGTGCGCCGTCTACCAGGAGCCCGAGGCAGGTGTGACCGCTGTTACTCCGTAGATAAGGAGCTTTGCCTTCTCTCTTCCTTTCCGTTTTCCAGTATGATGTGTCAGTTGAGTGTAGTTGAGAGTAAAAGTGCGACATTCCCATCGGAGAAAGCGAGGCACCTGCTGGACGACAGTGTCCTAGAGTCCCGCAGCCCTCGCAGGGGCCTCGCCCTCACCTCCTCCGCCGCCATCACCAATGGACTCTCCCTAGGTAAGCGTCTGGCCTGCACACGACAGTGGGTGGCCACAGCCTGGCGTGTGCTCGTGTCTGTCTCTCACTGTGCAGCGCCCGGCGGCCCCTCACCCCCACAGAAGGGCCCCCCGTAGGTGCCACCAGAGTCATGAGATGCCTGGGTTTGTCCTCAACCTGCTGGTGGCCCTGAGCATAGCAAGCAGGTGGAAGGGGCAGCCAGACACACCTGAGACCCGCCGCCACTGGCTGGCAACTGTGAGAGCCTGGCTGCTGCCTCAGTGGGGCTTCTGTCCCCGGGGGAGCCACAGACCCCAGCACACAGGGCAACCCTGCGGAAGCTGCCCAAGGACAGCAGCTGACGGGCCGCTGGGCTCTCATCTGTGTGTTTGTCTTCACTCCAAAAAGTCAGAGTGGGTGAAAAAGTGATCTTCAAGGGTGTGATTGCATGTGCGAGCTTCAGCTGGAAACGGTGCTCATGTCACCAGAAGGGACAGCGGCTGAGTCTAGGACGGGGCGGGGTCAGAGTCAGAGCCGAGGATGGCGTGAGCTCTGGTCTCAGGCCCATCCCTCTGTAGTGACCAGGTCGCCCGTCCTTACTATCCTCAGACAAGTGTACTCTCCGCTGCCCTGCCCTTTCAGCGTGTCTGTGCTTCTGCAGTCCTGTGTCTGTGTGTCTGTCTGCTCTCCTTAGCAGGGAGCCCTCCTGGTGCGGGTGGTGGTGTAGACAGTTGCCAGGCTCGGGGTTTGATCTGGTGAGGCCTGTAGGGTGGAGGGCCCATGAGCTTAGGGAGGAAGGGTGTGTGGGGACAGGGAAAATGTCCTACACTCCTGTGAAATGAGGCCAGTGTCCAGGGGACAGCCGTCTCCCACTACCAGAGGGTCTGTGACAAGCAAGGCCCATGTCTGCCTCCATCTTGGGAGGAGGCCATCCTATTGAGACCTAGTCGGGTGTGCAGCGGTGTGGTTCAGAGGGTTAATACCCGGAGAAGAGTCGTGGGGATGTAGCCGGGGAAAGGCTTGTTAAAGCAGGTGAGCAGGTCTCTTCTAGACTCTGAATGCTGAGGCAGCCTGCAGGGTCCCACAGTCTGGTCACGGCACCCTTCCCTCGCAGTGTCCTGTGGGATGGGCTCCGAACCAGGTGGGAAGTGCTGGCCCAGAAGCGTTCAGCTGGGCGGTACTGCAGCTGGTTTACATCCTGGAAACTTCCTGAGCTGTGCCTGAGCCCAGGCCCTGCTCTTCCTGGCCAGAAAACAGAGTCAGATGCAGTGCTGCCTGGCATCCGGGCAGGGGATCACCAGTGCTTTGGTTCTCAGCTCCTGTATTCGGAAACTCAGATGGTTTTCTGCCTGGAGCTGAAAGCCCAGGAGCAGGTGGCTGTGCGCACGTGCCCTGTTGGAGCTGAGCTGGTCCCCTCTGTCCCGTAACTCCCAGCAGGCCTGAGACCTCCTCCTTCCCCCTTTCCCACTGTCCAGCTTGGTGCCAGCAGGTAGCCCAGGCAGAGAGCCCTGAACTGAGGCTCCTTGAGGTCTGAGCAGGAATGCAAAGGCACGTGGCATCGGTGAAGTGACAGAAGAAAATATCTCTGCTGTCCTTGTGGCTGGAGGCGGGCCTTGGAGAGCCCCTGAGAAGCAGGCCTGGGGGAAGGGGGGAGCCCCTCTCTCCCTGTGTACTGGCCAGGGGTCTAAAGGGACCCTCCTTCGAGGCTTCTAATGCTGGGCAGCTGCTCTGTGACCAGGGCTTAGTCAAGCCCTGACTCTTGGGGAAAGAAGTGAGAATTTGGCCCCTGTCCTCATCAGGCGAGGCCTGTTCTAGCACTGGCTTTCCTTTGGCCAAAGGGAGGCACTGGGGAGCCAGGCCAGGCCAAAACACAGGCTGAAGGACCCAGACCCCAGGGGTCCTGGGGCAGGCAGCCGCAGCCTTCCAGGGGGCAGTGGGAAGGGAGTAGAGGACCACCTGGGACCAGTGGGACAGGTGCTTTCCACCCTCCCAGGGCAGAGAGGCAGAAACAGAAGCAGCAGAAACCCCAGTGACAATGACCCACAGCATCAAGAAGCTGTTTCTCTAGCACCTGTGTGGAGCTCAAGGGCCTGTGCCCAGTGAGCCAGGAGAACAGGCCCTCCAGGGGGAGGCTGCCTTGCTCACTGATCTGTGTTCCTTTTCCAGGCAGTAGTGAGAGCTCAGAGTTTAGTGAAGAGATGTCTTCAGGGCTGGAAAGGTGAGTGTGGCCTCAGCTTGGCCTCCCTCCCAGGGGAGGTGCTCGGGCCCTGGGGAGCTGGAGACAGCTCCAAGCAGGGACCAGCCCCCAACCTCACCCCACTGGCCCAGCCTGGTGAGGCTGCTCTGTGGCTCCTCAGATCAGCTTGGCTCAGGGGCAGGACCAAATGAGGGAGGGGTGGGGTGGGGGTCCCAGCCCCATGTTCTGAGCAGCCCCTCATCACCTGGTCCAGAGTGAGCCCAGGAACCTGAGGCCAGCTCCTCTTCCTCAGGCCAAGCAGCTGAGGAGACCTGGGAGCATATTTGTTCTGAAATGTAGGTTCTTGAAACCAGAAGCCTGAGAACAGGCCTCATGTGCAGACGGGCATGTGGCTCCGCCTGGTGGGGTCTGAGAGTTTTGCACCCACATGGCCTCAGCCTTGGGCTGCACCCAGCACGCTGGGCAGTGGCGACAGCAAAGTGGATCCCTCTGCCCAAGTTCGGCTCCCTGCGGGGACCTCTCTGCCCGGGGAACCAGGCCTCCCGTTCAGGAACTCACCCTCGGCACCCACTCCACATCTTGCTGCTTTCTCGGTGCCAGGTGCCATGTGGGCCCTGGGAAGACAGGGACCCTATGAATGGTGAGCTCCATGGCCATGGCGCTGCCAGAGGCCTAGGGCATCGTGGCGACTTTGAGGGGAGGCAGGGAGAAACCCAGTGACACAGAAAGTTGTGAGAGGCAGGTTTGCACCGTCCCTCAGATTGGCCCTCCACTAATGTGTGGGGGCCCGTGTGCACAGACAGGCACATGCACACAGTTACACACACACTCACGTCCTCTCGCACATGTGGGTGAACATACCCACACACGTACGTTCACACACATGCATACCTCACACAGATATACACCACACACACACTAGCACACACATACACGTACTCATACTCTTCCTCTGGTGCTGAGCCTCCTGTCCCCTCAGTCCCCATAAACAGAAAATGGCCAGAGAGAGGAGGATCCCACCCAGCAAGTCCTCACTGGGCACGAGGATGAAAGAGGCGATAAGTGACCTTTGTTGAGCATTCCCTGGGTGCCCGGCACTGTCCTGGTCTCACCGGGTCCGCGAGCACTTCTACACAATGCTTAGTCAGTGTCCCCATTTTATGCGTGTGGACAGCAGGGCTCAGGGAGGTGGCGTGACCCGGCTTGCTTCGCACTCTGCTGGGGCAAAGCTGCCGCGGACTCATGTCTTCCTGACCACTGAGCCCACCTGTCCACCACTTTTTCAGGCCTCGTCCAAGGCCATTGTGACAGCTACGGGCACTGGCCCCTTGTCGGTCAGTCAGTCTGTCCTTGTGAAACCCCAGATGGAGGGCAGGAAGTGAGGAGCAGCAAGGCCCTCCCTCTGTCCCTGCTCTAGGACCCCTGGAGGGGCGTTTGCTCTGTTCTCACTCTCTGGGGCGCCCCTGGGGCCACCTCAGCAGTGGCATGAGACCAGGCAGGCCCCAGGGGGAGACTGCAGACCTGCTGAGAAAAAGCTTGGTTCTTCTCAGCACCAGTCAGAGGACTCTGGGCGACCCTGAGGAAGAGGCTTACAGGCAATCCAGCGTCCCCCTGGCCACAGGCCAAGGGGACATCGAGTGGGAAACAGGCACGGTGCCAAGATCTTAAATATCATCCAAACCTGGACTATCCATTGGCTCCTTCTTTCTTCCCTCCCTCCCTTCCCTCTCTTCCCTCCCTTCCCTCCCTTCCCTCCCTCATTCATTCACTCATTCATTTATTCAATACGAATTTATTAAGCAACTGCTCCCTGTCAGACACCACCCTGAGGGGCACACTCTAAGGAGGGGAGTGAGGCGTCCCTTCCACTGTCCCCATGGACTTCATTGGAAGTAGGGACTGTGGATGTTGCACCAAGCTGACCTTGAGCAAGCTCCAGGCTCCTCAGCAGTGAAAGGAGGAAGGGGCTGTTTCAGCCAGGCCCACCAGTAAAGATAGCAGGTGCTTCTTTATGCCCCTGGCGAGGTGATAGTTAAGCAGAAGCCCAAGGACATTTGGTGAGTAGGACACAGTGGGCTCTCAAGGGGGTCCTGGGGCCTGAGGAGGCCGTGAGGCCTGAGTTGTGTACCAGGATGGGAGAGATGGCCTGGGAGTGCTTGGTGTCTTTAAGAGTCACCGCAGGAGAGGTGGGCTCCAGGATGTATCCTGGTTTCTGAAGTCCCTAGTGTACCTCGCACTGAGAGGTCACAGCCTGGCTCTGGACACAGCCTGCAGCACTGGGAGGGGCCTGCGGTCAGGACTGCAGCTGTCTCAGTGGCCTTGGGCCTGTCTCTCAATCTCTCTGAGCCTCAGGTCCCTCAGCCTTGCAGGGAGAATGCTCACAAGAAATAGCACATAAGCGGAGGTGCTCCATTTGAGAAGCTTCCTTGGGGATTTTTATGAATTTCACTCTGTAGGTACCTCTTGTCAGCAAGCAAGTGATTGGGGACATTGCCCAAAGGAGAGTGGGTGACTCATAGGCAGTAGAAGTCCTTTAACAAGTACTGCTGGAGAGATGCCCCGGGGCCAGTGGGACTCGGGGTGGCAGCTTCCTGTCTGCAGATGAGGGTGAATCATCAGGAAGCAGCCGCATGGGACGGCTCCCCACCCAGGTTTGCTGGAGTCGGGGGACACTGTTGATGAACAGCCTCACCTGGGCCCTTGCACAGGTCCACTCCTACCACGGCTCCGTGCACTTGAGATAGAAGAATGGGGGTTCCTTTTTCTGCTAAGACAAGATTACTGAGGCCTTAGTATGAATATTGTCCAAGACTTTTCCCTGCCCCCCAACCTCCTACACCAGTAACAGGGACTCAGGGTTAAATAATGAAATTTAACCCCCTAGATACCTGCCAGCTAAGGTGTACCTAGAAAACTCTCAAGGGGAGATGTCTTGAAGGCCTGTCTTGGCTAGTCTGAATTCTCATGGTGCTGTTGGCTCTAGCAGGACCCTGGCTGAGTCCCCCTCATTCTCCCTTTTCCTAGTGTCGTGACCTTGGGCAAGTTCCTCCACCTCTCCAAACCTTGGAGTCCTTGTCTATAGGTGGGGATAATAGTCCCCGCCTCACAGTGTTGTTTGCTTAACAAGATAATGAATGGGGATTGCTGAGCTCATTACCTGCCACCCATCATCCCTTCCTCCTTGTCACCCGCCATCCCACTGTCCCACCGTCCCTCCACCCATCATCCTATCACCGTCATCATCACTGTCTTGCACGCCCTTTGGGATGGAGGTGTCTACTTGGCTGCCAGCCCACATCCTCCCCAGACCAGACTTGCCCTGAGCAGGGTTGTCGACTACAGCCCTCCCCCCTGCCACCCCCAAGACCCATCCCTGGGAGGGAACAGTAAATGGGCTCCCTGGGGTACATGCTGTTCAGCCACATGTTCCCAGCATGATGCCGGGAAAGGTGCCTGTGGTTCTGGATGGGGAGCCCCCATGACACTCAGAGAAATTCTGTGATTTCTGGAATTTTCTTCAGATACCACTGCCCATTCATTTTGCATTTTGTGGCCCTGAACATTCAAATGACAGATCTTCTCAAATCAGGGAAGGGATCGGCTTGTCCCTGGCTCCCCTGTGCTGATGTTAGGTTGCCTGGCCCAGCCAGAGCTGCCCCACCATCACACCCTCCTCCAGCTCTGCAGGGCCCACCTTGGGAGGGAAAGCTGGCCACTGCAGCCCTGACTCCATTCTCTGCGAGCTGATCTCGGGGAGGAGCCACCATCCCACTGCCTTTCAAGGCCGGGTCACTCCCCAGTCTCCAGGGGGAGCTGGCTCTGACTTTCCCCACCTGGAGCAGCTTGACTGACATGGGCCCTCCATTCACACAGGAAAGCCAGCCTTTCTTTCTGAGCACTTGTGTCTCCATCCCTGAGGACAGGCCAGTGGGGTGGGACAGGTGGCTTCACCTCCTTGAGCCTCAGTTTCCTTTTCTATGACAGGGTGAGAACGGTGCCCCCTCCTGGAGTTGGGAGGCATGGTGTGTGAAGGCACTTAATTGTCTCGTGGTTAGGAGTCCATCAACAGCAGCTGCTCTTTAGTGCCAGGAAGCCAAAGCCACCAGAAAAACACTCCATCGGGGAAGCCCAGGGACTGGGCAGCCGGGAGCTGGCCCCACCCCAGGAGACCCAGGGCCTAAGTGTGTGGCCATCCAGCCTCACCCACACAGACAAAGCCCACCCAGCAGGAGCTGCAGCTGATACAGACAAGAAGTGGGGCCTCCGGAGAAGAATGCCAGGCAGCTGCCCACACAGGGCTGCTCCAAACCTGGGCCCAGTCCCCAGGGCAGACTCCACCTCAGCAGGCACCTTAGCCTCTCCCCACCCTGAAAGGTAGGGGAGGAGCTTGGGCTATAGGGTCAGACAGACCTGGGTCCAGATCCTGGCTAATTTGGTTCACATCTCTGTCAAGTGTCCTCATATCACCGAGCCTCAGTTTCCCCATTCTGGGGAGCCTAATCGTGCTTGAACAAAGCTCCAGTGAGAGGCGTAGTGCATGGCCTGGTGCATCAGAGTGTTCACTCGCTAGTGACTCCTCCGCGAGCCCCCAGCGACCCTGCCAGCCCAGTGCCTTGGGCAGCCCCTCACTCCTTCAGGGAGAACACAGAAAGACTGCTCGCAAGGCTAGACCTGTTGGAAGATGCTGATGTAAAGCTCGCCATCGACACATGTCCGTCCTGCCACATCTGTTAGGTATGTAGCCATGGACCGTCTTGAGAAGGGGACAGAATGAAGGAGAGAAGGTGGCAGCACCCACCCCATCGCCCCGTCTGAGGAACTACTGGTGATCGCAGACAGTCCACTATTGTCGCACATTTTCCTGGGTACCTGGGAAAGAAGACTTCTGAGAAGAAAGGTTGAGAGAAGGAGCCAGAAGATCCAGCTCAGGGAAGGGAGGGTCCATCTCTGGCTCCACATCAGCAGAGGCTCAGCTCAGCGGGAATTCAGACTGAATGAGGAGAGTCCTGCGCATGAAGGACGACACCACAGCCAAGTTCATTCTCATAAGAAATCCCCGGGTGTGGCTGGGAGGAGAGCAACCCTGGAGGCGGTCTGTGAGCGAGCCCCCTGAGCAGCCGGCTTACGGCCCCACTCACAGGGTGGTGACATGTCGCGGTGTGACAGCCATTGTAAGGTGCTCGACAGTGTTGCCAGTCACAATGAAGTACCAAAGCTTTTCAGAAATTAGAGCAGATTCATCATTTTCTGTAGCGCATCCCATCCACTCACTTCATTGCAAGCCTCTCAAGGAAATAATTACCTGGAGACCTGGGGACTTGCAGGGATGGAGACCTGGGGCTATTTGTTCACTGGCCTGGCAGCTCAGATGTGCCCAGAGGCGCTTGAACCATGACCGAGGAAGCAGCGGGAAGAGTTGGGGTTGGGGCTTCCTGAGCTAATGACCACAGTCTGAGATGCTCTTGCCTCCTGCAGATTATCTGGTCTTCCCAGCCTGTTGCTAAAACTCAACCTTTTTCCTCCAAAGCAGGGGACGTCTCTATGCCACGCTGGGGCCCAACTGGCGGGTTCCAGTTCGGAATTCTCCCAGAACCCGGAGCTGCGTCTACAGGTATTCATTCATGTGTCTGTCTGTTCGACAAAGAGCCATAGGGTGCATGTTGGATGCCAAGCTCCGCGCTAGAGGCTGTGAGTGAGATGGACATGGCCACTGCCTCAGTCCACGAGCTGCTGCTACAGGAGAGAGAGGAATGGAACAAAATCACAGGTGCCCGTGGTCCCAGAGAAGGGGGTGCTCTGGGAGGGGAGAGCAGGGAAGGCCTCCCTGGAAAAAAGTATGGAAGAGAGAGGAATTAACTGGACAAAATAAAGGGAGGGGAGGCAGAGGGTTATAAGAGTGTCCCCAGGCAAAGGGACAGTCCACCGGGCCTTGAGGCAAGAAGAGCAGGGTCATTCCGTATGAAGGAAAGTCAGGAAAGATGGGGAAAGGATGTGAAATGAAGCTGGAAAGGTGTGCGGAGCCACATCCAGCAGGGGCGTTAGGATGGTGGCCTCAGGCAATGGAGGCGTTGGGGGAGAGGGGAGAGGGGAGAGGGCATGACCCGGTCACCCAGGCTGAGTGTGGAGAGCACATGGGAGGAAGGCAAGAGCAGATTCTGGGAGGCCAGTGTTGAGCGTGGGCAGTGGGTCAGAGGCAGATCAAGCTCCCTGTACGTTGGGGGGAGTGGGGTGGCTGGGACGGACATTGCAGGGGTAGAGGGGTAAGAGAAGAAAACCCCTAGGTTTCTGGCTCAAGCAGCCAGGTGGGCGGTGGTGCTGTTCCCTGGGATGGAGCGAAGAGCAGCCTGGGGGAAGGCGCCGGCTGAGGGAGGTGTCTGTGGGGGCTGCCTCTCCAGTGAGCAGAAGCTTCTGTTGTCTGAGATGGAGCTTAGGGGANAGAGCCACATCCCGCAGGGGCGTTAGGATGGTGGCCTCAGGCAATAGAGGTGTTGGGGGAGAGGGGAGAGGGGAGAGGGCATGACCCAGTCACCCAGGCTGAGTGTGGAGAGCACTTGGGAGGAAGGCAAGAGCAGATTCTGGGAGGCCAGTGTTGAGCGTGGGCAGTGGGTCAGAGGCAGATCAAGCTCCCTGTACGTTGGGGGGAGTGGGGTGGCTGGGACGGACATTGCAGGGGTAGAGGGGTAAGAGAAGAAAACCCCTAGGTTTCTGGCTCAAGCAGCCAGGTGGGCGGTGGTGCTGTTCCCTGGGATGGAGCGAAGAGCAGCCTGGGGGAAGGCGCCGGCTGAGGGAGGTGTCTGTGGGGGCTGCCTCTCCAGTGAGCAGAAGCTTCTGTTGTCTGAGATGGAGCTTAGGGGAGACGTCTGGGCTGGTGCTGCACTGGGTCGTCTTCACCCATAGGTGGCACCTGAACCGCCCCCCTCCGCCCAGGCAGAGGGTGAGATAGGAACCCTGAGGAAGAGGCGCAGGTCTTGGCAGTGTGTGGGTCCCCTCTGCTCCTTTCCCACTTCCCCCCCACCTCGCCCACTTCCTCCATGCTCCTCCCAGGCTCCTGCCAACACAAAAAGGAGGGTCTGCGTAGTCCTCAAGCTCCCCACGTGGAGAGGAGGCCCACAGATTGAGCCCAGGAGGAAGCCGGTGGTCAGGATAGGGTGTGGGTGCTCCTAGGGGCCTGGTTTGGTCACCAAACATAGGGCTTGCAGCACTCAGATAGATGAGGGGGTTCAGAGTTTCCCAGATGTGGGTGAGCCCAGGGCTACCTTCCCTTCATGCTCTCTGTCGCCTTGGGGCCCTCCTGTCCCTGGCCATGCCCCAGCACTGGTGAGTTCCCCAGTCTGTGGCAACATCGTGGATCCCAGTGACTGAGAGGGTCCTGCCCTCAGCTCCTCCGGGCAATGTATGACCGGTGGTCTCCCCTCAGCCCCACCGGCCCGTGCATCTGTACGCTGGGAAGCTCGGCCGCAGTGCCCACCATGGAGGGGCCTTTACGAAGGAAAACTCTGCTCAAGGAAGGACGGAAGCCCGCAGTAAGTGCACACACACCTTGGTTGGGAGGCAGCATGGGCCTCAGCGAGGGGCCTGGGCTCCGGATACCAGCCAACCAGGGTTCCAGCCCAGGCTCTGCCACTGAGTGAGTGAGGAACTCAGTTTCTCCATCTGTAAATTATGTCGTAAAGGCCTTGGCAAGACGTCATGTGCACACAGTGAGCGTGCAGAGAACAGGAGCTAGACGGTTATCTTGAGGATGAGTGGAAGCCTGGAGACCCGAGGAATTAGCGTGAATATTGCCCCTGAGAAGGGCAGCATGGCCTGGATATTTCCAGATCCAGTCCCCCCCCCCCC